GCTCCCACATCTGGGTGGCCTGGGCTTCTCTAGGCAGAATTTAGGTCCCAATGACAACTTCCCAACATTGAGATCTCATAGATAACAACAAGCTGCAAAGAAACACCGTGGAATCTACTTTGGAGGTCTTTAAAAATAGAACAACTTCTCTATACTCTGAAATTGTCTGGAATGACATCCCATTTATAAAAAAAACCTGAAAACATGGCAACGCAAAGCTTTTTATTTACATCAACCCTTGATTTTAAGCTGTTTTAGATTTGTTTGCTTTTTTTTTTTTTTTTTTTTGAGACAGGGTCTCACTATGTAGTTGAGACTGACCTGGAACTCACTATGTGGCCCAGGCTGGTCTCCAGCTCAATCCTCCTGCCTCGCCTCTCGAGTGCTGGGATTACAGGCGTGCTCCACCACGCCTGGCTTGTTTTAGGATTGTTACAAATTCCTACATTCTTCTATTGCCTGCACAATATTAAACACATATTGAAGATGGCTTTGCAACATACTAAAGCCCCAGTGTAGAGGAATGACAGTAATATTTGACAGGCAATCCCAGAGAGACAACTTGCTTGACAAATTATGTCCACAACACAAATGGAGGTTCAAAACTCACCCACAGCAGTTTCCCCTTTTAAGTAACCTCTCACCTCTATGTAATTCTATGAGGGGATTTATAACATCTGTGCCCTCTCCCAAGGCTCCTTCATTACTTCTTAACTTCCTTCCTCAGCCAGTTCCCAAGACTTCCCGAAGATTCTCTGGTTGGGTCATTTGTACTCAGTTACTACTTTAGCTGGAAGATGTAGAGGGAGGAGAGAGGAAAGAGGCAGCCAGGAGAACTCTGACCCCCAGATATCCTTCCCTTTCCTTCCCTTCCCTCTGCCTTCTCCCAATCACACCTTTAGAACTTGGTCCTTAATACTTAGCAAGGTTTTCTGGGAAAAAAGTAAAAGAAATGGGATCTAATAAGGGCAAGTATGCTTATGGCCAAGACAGGATGCAATGTACTTGAGACTGGTTATGTCTCAGGGAACTGATCCTCATCGTGGGTTATACATTAAGCTTGTAGCTCAAAACCTAGGTATATGGCAGTTAACTCTCTAGACCTTGTCAGTGTGGCAGGAGCTTTACTTACAGTGATTTCATGTGTACCTGAGCCCATAAGGACACCAATACTGTGAAAGGCATTTTAAACTGCTCAGAGCCCTAGGCATGCTACCATTGCTGTCATCCCTGCTTTGAGCAGAACTTAAAGAAAAATAAGTTTTTCTCAGCCTTGGGCAGTCTTTCCCAGCCCTCAGATCACCTCCCCCTAGCCTGTAGCTGTAACTCCTTGTTCTGATAAAAATAAAATTGGTAACTATGACCTATAAACAAAATTTTCATCATCTTGTTTCACGAGATTCACAAGGCTCTGCCTTCTTTCAAGGCTAAATTACAAAACTTTCCTGCCCTTGTCCCGTTTCTATAAATTTGCTTGCTATGTCACTAGAAAGGCCATCTTCAACCAAGTGTATAAAAACTAGAACTTTTCCTTGTTCAAGCCTCTTCCTTTGGATATTAGTCTGTTGAGCTGGTGTTTACCTAAGCCTAGAATAAAATCCTCCTCTTTCCCAGTGGTTTCTCTTGCCTCTTAAATCCCTCAGTAGCCTTAGCTACTTTCTTCATTGCTTGGACAAAATACTAAACATCCACAACCTAGGAAAGGAGAGGTTTATTTCGGCTCTTTGCAGTGGTTTCTGTTCATAGTTGACTAGCTCCAAGGCAAGGCAGCCCAACAAAGGGGCATGGAAGAGGAGAACCAGCTCATGGAATGGCAGGCAGGGAGCATCGAGGATGAAGGGAGGAGCAGAGGAGAGACAGACGCAGGCCACACTGCCCCAGTGACCCACCTCTTATGACCAGATCCTACGTCCTGACAGCAAGTGACCTGTAAGCCCCCATAATCCCAATCACCTTCCAAGACCCCACTTTTGAGCACATGAGTCTTTGGGGGACTTTAGATAAAAGCCATAACAATCCCCATCACCCCAAATGTAGCAAAACCACCTCCCTTAGGAAGGAGTACATGAATGTTGTCACTGATGAGTAGATTGCATGTCATGTTCAGAATACATTTAATTTCAAGATTTATTGTTATATTCATTCTGTTTGAGAGAGAATAGATATTTTTCAGGTCTAAAACATTTTTTAGGGTATCAAAAGCTTTTGGCCTCAGACACTCTGCCTAAAGGATCCAGTGGATAAAATGTCCTTGGAAACAAATATTGGCCTAGAGGACCAGGCATGGAAAACCATGCATACACACCATGCCTAGCCTCTATAAACCCCAATACATTCTTGAGCATTACCTTGAAATTCATGTTTGAGGTAGTGGGGAGGGATGGGGTCAGGTTGTGAGCTGATAAGGGAAGGAAGATCCTCAACAGTTTTCAGTGAGCAGAAATGACTTGATTTAGTCTAAGTGTCTTTTGTTTGAATGGAAAATACAGTAGTACCTTGGGTCATTCATGGACGCTTTTGTTTGCAAACAATTTGGTCCACAAACAGAAGCATTTGGCAAACTTTTGATTTTGTTTGTAAACTCTGCATTGGGTGACAAACATGACCATAGTCAACTTTCCCACACAAACACAAACAGGGCCGTCTTTTCCAAAATCACAGAACAAATTAAGTTTGTGAATGTACTATTAATTGAGGGGAGCAAATGTCCTTAGGTTTGCCTTTATTTAGGGAATAAAGGCATTTATTTTGTTTTTAAACATCATTAGTCCTTCCATAATTGATGGATGCTATGACCTCAGTTTCCCAACCATTGGTAATATGGCTTCTTTATCACAAAGTCTCCTACCATGAAGGTTTTCAAGGTCCTCACTGTTGGTGTGAGACTCTCAATTTGTGAAGAATGGAGGTAAATACCAAGATAAACTTTGATTATGGAGATTCATTGTACAGACACAAGGAAAGTGGGAAGACAGATAATAGCCTCCGCAAGTACATTATTATCTACTCAATGAACATTTATTGAGGATGAAGGGAGGAGCAGAGGAGAGACAATCGCAGGCCACACTGCCCCAGTGACCCACCTCTTATGACCAGATCCTACGTCCTGACAGCAAGTGACCTGTAAGCCCCCATAATCCCAATCACCTTCCAAGACCCCACTTTTGAGCACATGAGTCTTTGGGGGACTTTAGATAAAAGCCATAACAATCCCCATCACCCCAAATGTAGTAAAACCACCTCCCTCGTGTACAAGACTGTATTCTAAACTCTGGGGACTCCAGTGGTGAACAAGATTTATAGGGTCCCTGCTCACATGGTACTTCCACATAAGTGAGGGTTGATAATAATAAAGGGTAAAATGAACAAAGCGATTTCAGATGGTGGTAAGTGCTATGAAGAAAGTACCCAATGGTATGAGAAAGAGGATGTATTAGCATTCTCTAGAGGAACAAAATCAGTAGAAGATATATGTATAATTGTGCAAGGGAATTTATTAGGTAGACTTACAGGATCAGAGGTGGGAGATCCCACAATGGCCATCTGTTCTATGTGTTAAGGCCAGTCACATAGCCTTTCCAGAGTCGAAGTCCAGTAACTGTTCAGCCCAAGAAGATGGAAGGCACAGAACAGGATGGATCAAGGGTGCAGCAGCAGTCCAAGATCAAGGGAAACTTACTGGAGCGTCTCAGGTGCAAATCTACATCAGAAGGCTTAGGAAACTGGAGATACGGAGACTGATGTCCAAAGGCAAGAGCAATAAAGGACACACTTGCTCAGGAAGAGTTGAGCTCTTCAAAATAAGCACATTTCTTTCTTTCCCTTTTTATTCCATTCAAGTTATAAGCCTATTGTTTAGTGCCACCCATAATGGGGTGGATGTGGGTCTTCTCCCTCAGTGTGCTGACCTACATGTCAGTCATCCACCGACACATCTAGAACTGTGCTTCACTAATCTTAATCCACTCAAGTTGACATATCATGATTAATAGTCACAGATGGTTAAGGGCCAGCGATGGGAAGCCTTGTTCTGGAGGACCTCTGAGGAGACAGCATTATAACTAAGCCTTGAGAATTCTCAAGAAACCAGATAGGAGAGGGTCTGAGAACAGAATCTTACACACATGCGATCGAATAGTGCAACGCCCCTAACTGAGAACTTAGGTACATCTCAGGAACACAAAGAAGAAGCACAGGAAGCTGGGGTGAGTTCTAGGAGATGAGGTCAGATAGAAAACAATTCAGTGCGCTCACCACTCAACCCAGCAGTTGCTCTGGTGTCCCAACACTTTGTTCTTCCAAATTTGTTTCTTTCTATTTCATTGACTCCGTCATCCTCATAACACGGTTGTTGTTTTTTTTTTCCTTAAGAGTTTCTCTCTGCTTGCTTTGTCATGAGCATCTTTCTGCTTCTCCATCTGTCTCTCAGTTTATTCTGTATTAAACATCTGCAAAAGTGAGGCTCTGCGAGTGTTGGTTATTCAGTGCTCAGTAGGACATGGTCCTGCAGGACAGGGTTTCATGCTAGGTGTTCTCCGTCGCTGCCAGTTCAGGGATACTGGTTCAGATGTGGTCAGGCTTTCATGACCTAGAACTTGGCAACTTATTTTGCTGAAAACTAGAATGACTGCTTTCCTCAGAGTCAGCTTGTGTGCTGAGCCGAAATTAAAGAGAATTTTTACAGTGAGGATATTTATGATCACTCTCAGGGATCAAGACCAATGGGCTTCTTAAAAGGCTTGGTTCTTGCCTCCTTATGGAAACTTCCTCAGGGATCACTGAGTATGACCTTTTAACATCTGGATCCAGCCTCTTCTGACTGTTTTTCTTCTTTCTGCCATTGATGGTCACAGTTACACCTTGCATCCAAGATGCCCTTATATGCAGTGTCTTCTTGCTACTTCCTCCCCCTTCGACTCTGGAAAGGCTATGTGACTGGCCTTAACACATAGAACACAGCACAAGTACTTTACGTGTTGAACTCTGTCTTTCACTTTCAGCTATTGAAACCGTCTTAGAACCCAGCCTCCATGCTGTGAAGAAGCTCAATTAGCTTCCTAACATGAGAAGCCTGAGTGGAGGAGGATCATGGAGGCCTGCAGCCAGCAACCCAGCCCTGCTCCCGGCTGACAGCCATGTAAGTAAAGCTGGTGAGGACTTTAAAATCATTTCAGTACCCAGCCAACACCAAAGAGGTATTAGAGCACCTGGTGAGCCCACATAATTATGAGGAATAGAACTATTCTCTTTTATATCCCTCAGTTTTACAGTGGTATGGTGCACTAATAGTCTTACAAGGGGAAAATAAATAAGCTATGTTCATGAGTTACACTAGGCCTTCCAGAGCTTCAGAATCAGACCTAGACAGTTAGGGCTGTAGACCTGCACAGACCAAAGAAAAATGTTCATTTTACATAATGATTGCTTCTCCATGGGGAATGATTCATGATCACCTTTCTAGGCTAGTGGCAAGAAGCCAAGGGAAGGGAGAGAGCAGAAGTGGATTCAAGTGCAAATGGGAATACTGAATCTTTCACATTTTGATCTGGGGGTCAGAATTTGATACTGCTGTTTCCTACAGGATGAGGGAGTTTCACTTGATGCTGTTTTATTATTCAGGTACCCTCTGTCTCCCCTTCCTGCTTCTTCTCTTCTACTTTCTGCTCTTCTTTGCTTAGCTCACAGTATTTTTTTTTTTCTTTGTAAAGAGAAGAAACAACAAAGATGTCCAAAACTGTTGTTGAACTTCAGCCTAAAATTCAGATTTGGTCTTTACCCAAAGTCAATATTTTGGGAGAAGTTTCAACAAGATCATTCATCCAAACTTGAGTTTCAAGTATGAAAAATCCCCAGTTTTCCACTTAAAAAGAAATAAGAACCTGAAAATGATGTACTGGAAAGCTATCAAAAAGCTTCAAACTTGGCTGGATAAAACAATCACCAAAGGAGGAAATTTAAGTTGAGGATGAAAGTAGCCCGAGCTTGGAAAATGATAAAGGCTCATAAACCGATGCTGGTGTGGGGCACTGGCACTTGAATCCCTGCCCAACAAATACCTTGTCACTGAGCAGGACCTCTAGATCTCTATAGCTCATGTCTGGACATCTCCCTTCTCTCTTGGTTGGATAACTGTGCTGGTCTCATAACTGATCTCCCTAATTTGAGTCCATATCATTTTTTGCTTAACTGTATTGGTACATTTTAGATATATAATCATATTCATCTTAGCGAATTTGTACTTGTGTATAATATATCTTGATGCCCCCTCCCTGTGGGTTGTCTTTTCACCCTGTTGGTGGTTTCTTTTGCTATGCAAAACCTTTTTAATAAGATGAGACCCCAGTTGTTGATTCTGTGTATTATTTCCTGTATCATTTTAAATCACAAATCTGATCAGTTCATTTCCTCCTTCGCAAACATGTCTTTCCACTGCTCTCAGGATAAATCAGCACTTCTCAACTGGACTTCAGAGTTGACAGGCACAGTCCAGCTCCCATTATCTCTCTGGCTACATCTCTGTCCACACCCAGGCTCACATCTTCTTCCCCAGCCACATAGCTCCATGATGTAAGACGGTCCCCTGATGTCCAGACTAAGTCTTTGTACGTGCTGTTCCCTCTGGTGGAACTGCACCTCACTGCCAGCTTTTGTTTGTCCACTACCAATCATCTCAGATGTTACCTCTTCCAGGAAGAACAAGGGGTACTGCCTCTGGATTTCCAAGGCATTTTGGAATTTGTCATGCTGTGCAAGAGTCATCAGTTTTTATGTGCATCTCCACCACTAGACTGTGAATTCCCTAAGGACAGTTATCATGCTTTTTAAAATTTAAAATTTTAACACCTAACACATAATCCCTGCCTTATAAAAGATGTTCAGTAAATAATTGTGAAAAAAAAATCATTGTGAACCAAAAAAATACCCTAAAACTCCATCTACATTTTTCATCATGAGGAGAAGTTACAAAAACAGGTCAAGAGAGTTCCAGGGCAAGTATCCAGAGTTGAGACCCTTAGACCTCCAGAATTGTTGGCCATGTCATAATTTTGCATAGAATTAATTGAGCCCTGTAAAGTAGGTTTCCATGAGAACCTAAACCACAGCAACTTAGCCTAATAGTGTTTTTGGTTTTAGAAATGTTACCACCATGGACTCTGTCAGGGAGGTTTAGAATTTACTCATTTAATTAACAAAGATATTTTGAGCTTCAACTGGGCCAGGCCCTATGCATATTTACACATGAAGTCTACAGGACTTGTTTTCCTAAAGAAGTTTGTTCTGGGGTGGAGAAATGTTAATGGAATTTGGTTTGGATTTGAAGCTATTGTTGTGTTAAGATTCTGGAAGTAAAAGGTTCTTTTAGGGAAGGGCTGGAGGATTGTCCCACTTACTGGGAGTTCAGTTGACTAATGTTAACTTCTGTTCCAAAAAATATTTTTAATTTTTTTTTCCCAAAGAAAAAAACAATGCTTAAAGCTCACCCAAGAGAGTAAATATGGATGATACCTCCCATCATAGGAACAAAACCCTTTACAAAATGACACATGAACAAATAAGAGACATAGGATGCAGACACTTAAGGAAATTTAAACTGCAGGCTTCTGACATCCCTGAGACACAAAAGAGAGTGGACCTTTCTCCCTGGAGGCATGGTCTGTCCCTAACATCCTTAAGAATTATAGTCCAAATTCTGTGTATGGAGATAAAATGTCCTCAGGCAAGATGCTCAGTTAGGGAACAGAAGACAGAATTCAGAGTGGGCCTTTGGCCCCATAGGTTAGACTTTAGGTACACCAACTCATGTTTGAGGCGTGGAGTTGCTGCTGGAAAGGAGACCAGTAAATGGATGTATATCACTGGCTCAGAGCGATTGAGGGTCGATATTATGGGCAGGGTGTGACTTACAGGCATTAGGAGAGCAGAGAAATACATCAGAAATTTACCTTTGAGTGCCATCTGCTCAGTCAACTGCTCACCTCTGAAATAGCCAATCATTTCTGCATTTCTTCTGAAAAATTTAAATCCTGAGCTTCAGAAATATAAGGGAGAACCTGAAGACAGTTATTTGCTTAATAATAATAATAAGATGATGATATAAATTATTGATTCCGATTCTTTCCCTTTTGCCATCTATATTTCCTATGTATATTTGTACTTCCCTAATCTATTCATTTATTTATTTATTTTATTTTATTTTTTTAAATTTTATTGAGTTTATTGGTACATTTTAGGGATACAGTACAGTTACATTCATTGTTGGGATCATGTAACTTTACATGGCAAGTCTTGATTCTCATTTTTTCCCCTTACCTCTGCCCTCCCTTCACCCCCTCCTCCCCTCCCCATCTACAAACACTTTATTTTCATCTTTTCATTCTCTCACATTTTTTTCTTTTCCCTTTTTGTTCTTCCCCTACGTATCACACCTTCCCTACACCTTTAGCTCCTTTCCTCCCATTTCTAAATGTCAGTAATCTTATTAGAATCTTATGCATTGTTGCAGAATATTCACACCAGGGAAACTATTTGGTATTTACACATGTGGGACTTATTTATTTCACTTAGGAGTATATCTTCAATATGTATCCATTTTCCTATGAATGAATCTATTCTCTCGCTCTTTATGGCTGAGTAATATTCCATTTTATAGAAAAACCACAACTTCTTTATCCAGTTTCCAACGGATGGGCAAATAGGTTGTTTCCAAGATTTAGCTATTACAAACTGTGCCGCTATAAACATGGGTGCACATACTTCTCTGTGATATGATTCTTTTAGTTCTCTTGGAAAGATACCCAACAGAGGGATGGCTGGGTCAAATGGAACCTCCAGTCCAAGCTCTTTGAGGTATCTCCATATTGATTTCCATAGTGGTTGCACTAGTCTGCACTCCCACCAACAATGGAGGAGGGTTCCTTTCTCCCCACAACCCCGCCAACATTTGTTATTGTGTGATTTCTTGATAGCAGCCATTCTTTGTGGGGTGAGGTGGAATCTCAGTGTTGTTTTCATCTGCATCTCTCGAATGACCAGTGATGTGGAACATTTTTTCATATATTTTCTTGCTGCTTTCACTTCTTTGTATGAGAAATGTCTGTTCATTTCGGATGCCCATTTTTGGATCGGGTCTTTATATTTGGGGGGACTGATTGTTTTGAGTTCTTTATATATCCTTGATAATAGTCCTTTGTCTGAGGTACAGCTGGTAAAAATTTTTTCCCACATTGTAGATTGTCTCTTAGTTCTGCTAATGGTTTCTTTTGAAGTACAGAAGCTTTTTAGTAAGATGAGATCCCAGTTGTTGATTCTTTCTGCTAGTTCCCGTGCTACTGAGGATTTGTTCATAAAGTCTTTTCCTATACCAATGTCTTCCAGAGTTCTGCCTAACTTACTTTCCAGCAAGTTTAATGTTTCTGTTTTAATATTTAGATCTTTAATCCATTTGGATTTTAATTTAGTGCATGGCGAAAGATAAGGGTCTAATTTTAATCTGTGACAGGTTGATATCCAGTTTTTCCAACACCATTTATTAAAGAGGCTATCTTTCCTCCACTGAGGATGGTGAGCTCCTTTGTCGAAGATGAGGTAGCTGAGTACATCTGCATTTGTTTTTGTGTCTTCCAGTCTGTTCCATTGATCCTCAGGCCTATTTCTTTGCCAGTACCATGCTGATTTTATCACAGTGGCTTTGTAGTATAGTTTCAAATTGGGAATTGTTACACCTGGTGCCATGTGACTGTTGCCTATAATGGCTTTTGCTATTCTAGGTCTCTTGTGGTTCCAAATGAATTTTTGGATTCTTTTTTCTAGTTCTGTGAAATATAGTGTTGGAATTTCAATTGGCATTGCATTGAATGTATATAGTAGTTTTGGTAGTATGGCCATTTTCACTATGTTGATTCTTCCTACCCAGGAGCAGGGGATATCTTTCCATTCTCCTGGCCTGCGCGACAACAGACCAGGAAGGCCCCATTTATTTATTTTTTTGATACCAGGGATCGAACTCGGGTCCTTGCGCTTGCAAGGCGGGCGAAGGAACCACTGAACTAAATCCCTGGCCCTGTACTTCTCTAACCTAGACTTTGGCCAGTGGAATATGGGTAGAAGTGATGATATGGCAGATTTGAGCCCTGGTCTTAAGGGACAATACCTGATTCTGTTTGCTACTCTTGCACTTTTGCCGTTATCATGAGAAGAGGTTGTCTGAGGCGGCTGTCACCTCCTAGCAACAATGAACATAGATATAGCAGATTCTAGTCCCAGATCAATGAGCAGTCATGCTTACCTGGATATTCATCTTGAAACAAAGCCATCTAACTGATACCAGACTAGATTAGCAGGATGACAGCAAACTCTACACAAATGAGAATCAATGTCCTTTAAACCACTACATTTTGGGGTGAATTCTTACATAGCAATAACTAACCAAAGCTGGCCTAGAACTGGCCTGTTGGTGCAAGGCAGCAGCTGGGCTCGTATCTTCTCAACTTCCCCCTGGCTTCCTCATGAAGCTCCTCCGAACCCTGACCAAGCGCCTGTGCATCCCTGTGGTAAGGAGCCCGGATAACAGGTAACCCGCACAATTGAGTCTGCAGATGGCAAGAGACTGATTTGCGTCACACTTGTTCGCTGTGTATTTCAGTTTGCACTCCCAAATTCCCATTTGTCCTGGTAGATGACAGTTTTCTTTGCTCTTCTCCATTTCATGTCCAGCTTTTCTCCCCAACTTTCAGGCCTACAGAACTACAGCAACTTCTGACCCCCATCAAATGCGGAAGTGACAGTACCGTATGGATGGCTTCACCAGCTCCCCCGTTACTAAGGTTTCATTCTCGCAGTGAATCTTTTTCTGTATCACGCATCATACTGATAGTCCCTGGACTGAATCCTGACTGATATTTTCCCTCCCCTGGTTACCTGTGAGTTGGGAGAAAAGACTGGTATCACTGATGGCTCAGGGCTCTGTACAATTTTTACATTTACCATAATTCTAAGCATTTTGACTCTTAAACCCCATTTTCCTTCCCCCACTATCTTCCCAAAATTTCTCTGTGCAAGGAGTTTGCACAAAAGGGAGCATCAACTGCTAAAATCATCATAGAGGAAATATCCAGCTCCTGGCTACAGAGCACCAATAGGTGGGGCTAACCAGAGATTTGTCATCTGATTTTAAATTCCAAGCAGTAGGATTTCCCTAAAAATAAAAGAGAAAAATAACTCTATTTACTTCAATATTGCTATTTTCAAAATTTCCCAGTACAAGTTGTACAGAGTAATACAAATGCTAGGAAAGTGGATCCACATGAACTACAGAATCAAAATAAGAGGATGTTGTAACTCAGAAGAAAGGCAGCCCAGTACACTTCGGGATGGTATTGCAGCAATGAAAACAAGCTCAGTGTTCAAGTCAGATAAACAATTGCAGTCACAGTGCTGGAAGTTTAGGAAGTGACTCATCTCCAAGAACTAGCGTGGAGTGAAGACAGCCATTTACCTCAGCCCTTTGGCAGTTGACATAAACATTCTTTTCTCTTTTTTTCCCCCTTGTGACTTGGCCACTGGGAGATGCTATTGCAATCCTCTGCACTGTTGTGCCAGCATAGACCTTAGCTTCTCCTACCCCCACGATGCCTTGTCTTCTCTGTCCCCAGCCTCACACTGTTTTCTGGGGTAACCATTCTCTAAAACTAGTGCATTTCCTGGTAGGTGGAGAGGAAAATTTGTGAGGAAAGGTCCCATGCAATAAAGGCTCCTGTTAGGGACTTGAGGTCTGAGATGCTATGGCTGAGTCCAGAGAGCAAAAAGGAATAATCACAGAAGAAATATCCAACTCAGCCTCAAACTCAGGCAACCAGCAAAGGAAGAAAAGGTCTGAAAAAGAGGTCAGAGGCCCTGACTGGAGGCAGGGGCAGAGCCATAGGCAGTAAGAGGATTCTGTAAACAGGAAGTGATGGCTGGGTTTGTCACTGCAGGGCCTGCGATGGATGTGTGCAGGAGAGCCGGGGAAGGAGAAACTTAGGCTCTGGCTGATTGCATCATTGTCCTTTCTCCTCCCTCAGAGTGTGTTTCATTACTGGAACAGCTAGGAAGCAGTGTAGTAAAGGAGATGTGACATCCAGAGAAATATATATTTTCGCGAACCGGGACACAGAGCTCACAGTGATACTCCAAGAATGGAAGTGACCAAACTACCAGTAGTGCAGCATGGATCAGGTACTTGATTATATATTTATAAGAAAATTGTTGCTGATTTAAATGATGGAATTCTGTATTAGTTTCCTAAGGCCACAAACCCGGTGGCTTAAACTAATGGAAATTTATTCTTTCACAATTGAGGAGATGAGAAGTCTAAAATCAAAGTGCCAGCAGGATTGGTTCCTTCTAGAATCTCTGAGGTGCAGTCTGGTCCATTCCTTTCTCACCTCTTGGGGTTGGCAACAACCCTTGGCAGTATCTGCCTCTGACCTCACGTGGTGTTCTCTATTTGTATGGCTTTAAGTAATCAGAATTGAATCTGGGTGCTTTGCTTTATAATATAGCTCCACCACTTTTTAAATTTTGAGACAGGGTCTTGCTAAGTCATTAAATTGCCCAGGTTGGGCTTGAAATTTTGATCCTCCTGCCTTAGCCTTCTTGGGACACCAGTCAGTGGATTAGGACCACACCCTAATTTGGCTGATCACATCTGCAAAGGAAAGAGGTTTTGGTTTGATACGAATTTTGGGGAGACCCTTCAACACAGCACAGTAATATACAACAGTGGAAATGAATGAATAGTAGCTACAATGAAAACATGAGTGAAGCCAGGGGATTTAGCTCAGTGGTTCCACCACCTGCCTCGCAAGCGCAAGGGCCTGAGTTTGATCCCCCTTACAAAAACAAAACAAAACATGAATGAAACTCACAAACACAATAATTAGTGAAAGAAGTAAGGCACAAAAGCATGTGTAGTGTAGTGTTACTGTTATGGCTTGTATCTAGATTTTCCCCCATGGCCTTAGGCAGCTATAGGCAGGGATTTTTGGAGGTGGCTGGATAGGATGTGTGAATGTGGATTTAAAATATGATAACTGGGATTAAGGGTGTGGAAATGGAAGCCCCGCCCTGGGTATAGGTAGCACAAATCAGTAGGCTTGTAGCCTGGATAGGATAAAAGGGAAAGGCAGGCTTGCTGCTGCCGCCTTCTGCCTACCATACCATGAACTGTTTCTCTGCTGCAATGTCCCTCTGTCATGCTGTCCTACCTTGGACCCAGCTGACTATGGACTGAAACCTCTACAAACTGTGAGCTAAAAATAAATCTTTCCTCCTTTAACTTGTGGGTGTCCAGTATTTTGTTTCAGCAACAAAGAAAATAACTAAGAAAGTTATTATTTATAAAATTCAAAATCAGGAAAAACTGAACTATGGTTCCAGGGATGCATGCTTTTGTGATAATATAATGAAAAGGGATAAATGATTGCCATAGAGTTGAGGTAGCAGTTCCCTTCAGAAGGGAACAGACAAAGTAACATGACAGCATGTTTCTGGAATATTTGAATTTTTTTAAATATGGTGAATTAGTCATTACAAGAATGTTCGGTTTTGATATTCCATTAAGCCATTATATTTTCTGCATCGATCCTATTTTTTTTCAATAATAAAACAAGGAGGTATTAAGCTTGTAGTTCCAGATTCTGTCACTAACTGTCAGGATTTGAGTAAATTGTCTCTCTGGACTTCAGTGTTCTCATCTATAAAGTGAAGAGGTTGGACACAGTAATCTCCAATCCCTCACCCCAAGCTTACCATTTGGGGGTACAACTCATTTGATTCTCATTTGGTTTTGTGAAGAGAGGAGCTCCTCCCACCCAACATTATGTTGACAGAAAGAAATCACTTTCTTTCTGAGAGAAGTTCTATGGCCTTATCCATTCATTATTATATAATGTATTGACACTTTACATAGAATTTGAATTCAGAAGGACTTGGATCTGAGTCTTAGCTATGCTGTTTCTCTTCAAGGGATCAGGAACAGATTACTTTAGATCTTGACTGCAGTTTCCTTAGGTAAAAGTGAGTATAATGAAGAACCACTGATAAGAAGATAAAAAGGGGTGATATATAAGAATACTTGGAATCCAGGGAATCATTGGTAACTGGTTTCTAAAAAACCTGGCAAAAGCCAAACAAATCAGGTGAATTAAACAAATTGTTCTTGAATACTTATTGTCTAGCCAAGATTTTTCACAGAATACGGTCTCTTTTAATCCTTATCTCAACTCTTTGAGGTCATTTATCCTTGTTTTTACTCTAATGGAATGAAGAATTAGGTAGTAATGTGATCAAAATAGCTTTGGGGATAGATTAGAGGGAGGAGAGAAAAATTGCTGGTGAAGAGAACTGTTAGGATGCTGACAGTCCAGGCGAGATAGGGGTGGAGGGGTGCAAGGGCAGCAGCCAGAATGCAGAGGTCGTGAGCAGGGTCTCATTGGTCTCACTCATTGCCGCAGTCAAGTTTCTTTAAATGTTTGTGGACCGAATGGATGACAGAATGCTGTCCTTGGCAGGGTCACAATGGATAGAAGATGCGGAGGTAGAGGACACAGAGGAGCCGTGGACAATGGAGGGCTTCCAGATCAGTCTCATGGGGAGTAATGGCAGAGGAGAGGAAGGTTTGAGGTGAGGTGTAGCTGGATGGAAACACTGTTGGGAGAGAGTTGTTCGTGGGCCCTTGTATGGAAAGCCTGGCAAGCCAGAGTGAGTGCTGGACTCGGGCCACATTTGGATGAAGCATAGGGGATGTAAAGTCCTCTGCTTCATGGCCAGAATGGTTCCCACTTCATTGTCTCCTCCTGGCATCTTTACTGATAGTAGGGCGTCTTTGGAATACAGAGCCTACATACCCTTTTCTACCTGGACTCTTTCTTACTTCTGTTTGAACTTGTGCTGCTCATCAGTGGGTCATTGCTAATTTTTGGCTAGTGATGCATCTGGCTTATGACTGTCTTGGAACTAACTTTATGAATAGATCATCTAAATGACAGAACCCCAAACGCTTTAGTGACTGGAATCCAACTATAAGTAATTACATCCTTGAGACCCAGCATTTCTCTCCCCACGGCCTCTTAGAAAATACCCATGCCCCAGGAAGGATAAACAGCTTCATTTTCCAGTATTCCAGTAGGATTAACATCTAAGCTATTTCCCTCTGTGACAGGAGATGGGGTACAGGAGAAGACTGAGAAGTAGAAGGTGATGTGCAGTGAAGGGGCCCAATAAATGTGTTCAACAGGAGAAGGCTAGGGGCACAGAGATTATATTTCTTACTCTCTAACATCTCAACATACAACTGTCATCACTTCTCAAAGATCTAATTGACTGGAAGAAAAGGTCTACAGTGTGTCAAGCGTCAGGATGCTGCTTGCAAACATTAATTCATGCAAACTGCCGAACAACTCATTTTTCAATGATAAAACTACATTTTACAGGGGCCACTTGTTCATACAGCCAGTGGGAAATAGCAGATTGTGGAGAGGTGGGGTGGGGGAGCACCAAAGTAGGATTTAGTGTCTGTGACTTCTTGGGTTCCTATCCTTGAGTCAAGGCATGGGAATTTCTGCTCTTTGGCTTAAGTAGGAAAGATCGTTTTTTGGGGGTTTGGGTTGGGAAAGGGAATGGAAATCAGTGAAGGAGAGGCTGGGGTGATGTGAATTGCAGAGCCGGGAGTGGGGCCAGCCCATCCTCCCTTTGCCCAGGCTCTTGGAGGAGAGATCACAGGTTAAGAGCATTTTACTCCCAGTCTTCTTTTCTTGCTGGCCCAGCACCTCTGAGACAGCAGGAACAGTATTCAGAGCTAAGATTTAACTTCCAAATGGCTGACTGACCCTGCCGTCCCCACTCCAACCTGGTGTGAAAGGAGAGGCTGGCTGGCACACTCAGTAGCTCATTCTCCGGCAGCAATGCAACCAGCTCATTGATCATGGACTCTGATTTTCTGCCAAATACTGGGATTGCTTCAAGGCATAGTCCAGTCAGTGTTGGCTGGATTTTGGGCCAGCAGGACTGGCTTGGTTCTCCCCTTGATGTTTATTTGGTTCTATAAATGTGGAGGGGCCCATTCCAAATCTAGGTATTCATATCTGGGTTATTAGGCTGGGCCAATAGAAGGAATCCTCTTGAAGAGTTTCCTTCATGGCTGGAAGGAAACTGAAAGACAAAACGGAGGTCTAGCCCCTGAAGGGGACTTTAGGGGCAGAAGATGGGGCTCATGTGCTCAGGCAGCCCCAGTGCAGCCTTCACATTTCCTATCACTTCTGCTTGGAAGTCCAGAACTTGTAGTTCACTTTCAGGATTATGTTCAGCTACATCTGGGAGCTACTTTTTTGTGTACTTTTGGAGGACAGCTGTGATTGTGCCTAGGTGTCCCCTGATGAAATGGCTGTGTTGTGGCTGTACTTTCCACCCTCCCTGGTGTGAGGTTCTGGAGTTAGTTTTGTGTCATTTTAGACTTCAGTGAAACATACCAAGGGAAGATTAATGGAAAAGCTCTGCTTCCAACTGCCAGGAAAGTATTTTTCCCTTTTCAACATGAAAACAAGGAGAAGTGTCAGGTGAGTGGTCGGAAGAGGAGAGCAGAGCAGGTTCTCTGCATTAGCCCAGGACCCTGGGCTGCCCTTTTCCCTGGGCAGGACTTTATTTATTTTTCTCCTAAAGGATTCTCATTTTATGACCTAAAGTATATCACATCTGTCAGCAGCTGACCCCTGTCCAGTGCCCATTTTGTGCTGGCCCTGAATAGAGTGCTGTTGTCACACAGGCCCATCTTACCTGTAGGACAATCCCACTGTGACTGTTCAACTAACCTCAGTATCCATATAGGCAAATCAAGGCTCAAGGGCACAGAGCAGAAGCTAACTAAAGGAGCTAGAATTCAGATCCAAATAAAGGAAATAAAGGCAGAATGAATAAATGAAGGCTTCTCCTGGATACGGGGGTTGACTTTATTTTACCCTCTCTACTTACTCGGGCACCTTCTCCTCACAGGGCCTGTTTCCTCACTGGCAGAACTGACATGAAAATGCTTGCTCTTGCCCATGGCCTTGGTTGGTGGGTCATGAAGGAACAGAGAGGGCTTATAAGCTAGGATAGTGAAACCACTTTACCCTGTGACTTCATGGATGATACTTAACATCTTGAAACTGACACAACAGGCAAGGGTATATTTGTAAAGATTAATTGAAATGTATTTTCGGAAGCTGCCTGATATATGGAGGTACTTAGCAACTGTTTTGACTTGGGCTTATTTTAGAGACTTTAATTCAAAGAGTCTCATATGGGGGTGGAGGAGGACCCAGTACAGGGACATTTTACTTGGCTGGGCATTCATCTGGGAATTGGTCCACAAAATTCATTTGATTCTCAAAAGGGTTCATGACCTCAAGACATTTAAAATGTCTTCAGTTGAATTTGAATTTTGTTCTATGGTTAAAAGCCACCGGGCTAAGATTACATTAAATGCCCATGTGTTCCTGGAATCAGGCCTTGGCACAAGCCAAGGAAGCTGCCTTTTAGAAGTTCATAATTTAAATGTGATCAAACTTGGAAGCAGGTGCCCTTACGGAATCATACCACAGGGCAGAGGATGACATAATAGCTGAATTAGGCACACATATGGATGAATATAAAAAATGACATGAAGGGTACAGGGAAAATTGTTTTAAAATCACTAACTGTAAAAGCAGTAGAAATACATGATTTGATTCTATTTCAGTTTTTTTTCTCAAGAGAAATATCTGGTAGTGAACGATTATTGGGCACTTACTATGTACCAGATGGTGGGTTGTTTGTTATAAAAGCTTGGTCTTGGGCTGGGGATTTGGCTCAGTGGTTTTGCTGCCTGCTTCACAAGTGAAAGGACCTGAGTTCAATCCCCAGTACCAAAAAAAAAAAAAAAAAGCTTAATCTTATTTAATCCTTATCACCACACTGTGGAGTAGATACAGGTAGCATTTCTATTTTACTTATAAGCAAGCTGTGTGAAGGAGAGATTAGATGACTTGTCTGAGTATACACAGCAAGCATATGACAATTTTCAAAACCATGAGCTGTCCTGGGACTTATCTTTGAGTGTCCTTATTTCTTTAGCACCTTTTTCAACCCAGAGAAAAGAGGCGTCACATTAGCTGCTTTGGGCTCAAACTGACAGTGATCCCCAGCCTGAGCTGTAATAAGAATAGGATTTTGTCCCATTAGAGAGGTCAGAGTCATGGTGGACATTGTGCAGGACTAGGGCACTGTCCATTTTTCTGGGTTTCTCTTAAGCCTGCCCACTTTCCTGCTGGCATTAACCCCAGGGCCCAGCAGAGATCTGAGGCAGATTTTTGTTAAAGTCAAACTCAGACTTAGTAATGTCTAGAGAAAGAGTTGGGGATGGTCCCTTCTCAGGTTTCTTTCTTTCTTTTTTTTCTTTTTTTTTTTTTTTTTCCGGTTCCGGGGATCGAACTCGGGACCCTGTGTTTGCCAGGCAGGTGGTGGCACCACTGAGCTAAATCCCTGGCCCTGGGTTTCCTTCTTAGAAACAGGAAAACAGTATCCAGAAGGCCCAGGAAATTCCTCTTATGTCTAAAAGGCAAGAATATGGACACATGACCATTCCTGAACCAGAAACTGTGAAGGGGCATGTAGTATGGTTTGCAAATGACCCCTCACCATGTCATGAAAATAATCATCACTGCCATGGCATCAGGAAGTAGAGCTTAATGAGAGGGTGAAGTGACGGGCTCAATGTCATTATCACAAGAGTAGGGGACCAGGGGATTTAGCTCAGTGGTTCCTCCACCTTGCAAGCACAAGGACCCGAGTTCAATCCCTGGTACGAAAAAAAAAAAAAAAAAAAAAAAAGAGTAGGTTCATTGAATTCATTATGAAAGTAGGAATTCCACACCCTTTTGTCCGAACACACTCTCTCTGCCCTTTCACCAAATGATGCCTCCTACTATGGTGTAATGTAGAAGAAGGGAACTCCTGAGTCTTGGACTTCCCAGCTTTTATTTATTTATTTTTAAATTTTTATTGAGTTTATTGGTACAATCTAGGTATACAATACATTTACATTCATTATTGGGATCCTGTACCTTTACATGATAGGTCTTGATTCTCATTTTTTCCCCTTGTCCCTGCCCTCCCTTCACCCCCTCCTCCCTTCCCCATTTACAAACACTTTATTTCCATTTTTTCATTTTCTCATATTTTTTCCTCTCCTTTATTGCCTTTCCCCCACCCTTCCCACTTTCCCTACACCTTTAGCCCTTTACTTCCTATTTCACATTATTAATTATCTCATTAGGATCTTGTGTACTATTATAGTTTTTCACACCAGAGAAACTATTCGGTATTTCAGTTAAAGAGATCTCTATATGAACATTAAAAATAGGGAATCCTAAAATAAAACTAAAAAGGAAAGTAAAAGAGAAAAGGCAATGATGTAAAATTAAAATAATCCTTAATTCTGAAGATGAAAATGGTCCTTGAACATATTTAAGTTGCTTCTTGCTCTTGTAGTCTTATTCTCTTTTTTTCATTTTTTAGAGAATACTTTATTAGCTTTTAGAATGAGAAGAAATAAATTTCTATTCGTTATAAATAACTCAGTCTGTGATATTCTGCTATAGCAGCACAAA